ATGATCGGTACAACTGGGACTGTTAATAAGATTATTATTATCTGTTATTATAAGACTGTTAATAAGACTATTCAGAAATAATTATTATTATATATTATGATCATTATTATTATTATGGCACTGACAATTTAGAGTGTGTAACAAGCGATCTCCGGACTTCATTAGGGGTGGGGGGAGCCTGTGCCTTACCAGAAGGGGCCTCTGTGGCCCTGGGAACGTGAAGTATTTACATTTATTTAGCTGGCCAGATTAAAGCCTCGTGTGTGATTCTTGGAGACAAATCAAATTCCTGACGGATGTGTGTGATGAGTATTACTATTACTCATTCTCAAAGCTAATCTCTGGTTAAGCAAAGGTATTAACCTTATTGGTGAAACACTGAGGGATCATGAAAAGGGCAATTCTTCCCATATGCTGGAGGAGAGAAACCCCCCNGTCTAGGACTGTTAGTGTAAGATAAGTCACTTTATTGCACTTTAGGGCTCAATAGTAAATTGAACTGGTTAAGAAACAACGCAGAAAATTTGTGTCATTTTGCAAATGAAATTGTGATTTCAAAACAGCCACAAAACAGGTACAACCAATGAAAATTTGGTCACAATTGTCAACTGACTGTCAGAAATCAACAGAAAATAAGGAATTAACATCATAGTGTTGTGAGTAAAGGCCTCTGCATTACCACAACTTGAACCCAACACAAACAATATCTGGTCAGATACATTTATCAGTATCTTGAGCAATGATTTGCAAGGAGCAAAGATAAATATTTGACTGTAGTATTCAAAATTTGACCACACTTAATGGACCTTATATTTGGAAATGTGAAAACATCTATCACAGAATCACTGAAGTACTCACACGTTACAACACAGAAACTGTCTATGGATTGGGTTTAAAATGAGAACACCTTATGTCAAGTGGTACGTTAAAAATAAACTAAGCTGAGGATAATCTTAGATAAAAAGGAACTCTTTGAGGCACTTTTTTCCCCATAAATATCTATTCCATTGCAGCAGCAAAATGATTATGAATAGATAATAATAATCATAATCCTTGCAATTGATATAGCGTCTTATCACGTCGTTGAGACGTCTCAAAGTGCTTCACGGAATACACTGTAAAGTGAACTGACTGTATATTTTGTAAGTGAAATGCTTTTAGACACACACATATATATATATATTGACATCCCAAGGTGCTGGGCAGTCAAGGCTTTGCACCCGAGCTGGGGGTTTGGAATTAAGAAGGGTGGAAGGAAAGGGGGGGTTGAGGGTGGGAGAATGACCGAAGGCATGTCTTATAACATGGAGGGATTCAAGTTGACATGGAGCAGGCCATTAGGGATGATGTCTGGATGCTGTGCTCACTCTACATTCTGCTGCGAATACTAGCAATACATCTTTTACATCAGTCAGAGCAGAGGCAGAAATGAAACTGCCCTTTCAGACACACATGGGATCTTGCTGGAGCTGCCTCTGGCACTCAGCCCATTTGCACAGAACGAACAGAGAGAAGCATGTGGCCATCAATAAAATAATAATAATAATTCTTGCATTTGATTTGGCACCTCATCACGTCTTCGAGACTCTTCGCAGAATATACTGCAAAGTGAATTGACTCTATATTTTGTGGGCGAAACACGTAAGAAGTGCTCGGGGAGTTAGCAGTTGGACTGGGTTCCTGGAACAGTCTGGAACGCAAGCGGGGACATCTGTCAGGTTCAGATCCCCCACTTTGTTTAGCTGAGACACTTACCACCAGAGCTGACGTGCTCTTTGCTGCACCACAAACTTTTCTGACACAATTTTTTGTGCAGGAATATGTTCTGTTTTCAGTGAACTTTTTAAACGAGAGGATTTTTTTTTACACACACACACACATGGCTCAGAGGAACATAGGAACAAAAGTAGGCCATTTCAGCCCCTTATAACTGTTCCACCATTCTATGAGTTCATGGTTGATGGCGCAACAGGCTCAAGTGGCTGCGTGGACTACACCTGATCCTATGTTCCCATATTCCTATGAGCCAGGTATGTTGCACTGTGTAAAAACAGTTCGCATTTAAGAGCATTATAAACAGCATTGAGAAGGGCTTTCCAGTCATCTTTAAGTGGCCTGGCTGACTTTAACCTGGTGACTTAACAGTGTACCAGCTCAAGCAAGTGATGCCAAGTCCTTTGAAGAAAAATAAACCCTTTTTAAATAGCATATTCAATCCCAGCTGGGCCTTAGAATTTAGCTCAGAATTCAAACAATGGAACTACAGTACTTCTCTCTTTCTCTCTCTCTTTTTTTCTCTCCTCCACCCCCAACCTAATGGCAAAAAAGATTAGCGAGCAATGAATTGATAAGATCTGATTTTAAGTCAAGTTTCTTTGATGGACTTTTTCAGAAACAAAGGTCAAATCAATCAACTCAGTAAAATCTTGAGGGTTATACATTTTCCCTTACTGGTCCTTTTTTTTTGTAACTCATTCATTGCCAGCTGCCTATGCAAGCTATGACACGGGAGAATATGTTCTGCATAACTTCTTGTAGAAAGATGCCATCTATCACCTTCCTGAGTCCCTGATTGCAGTGGCAAAGAAGATCGTAGCAAAGTCTGCCTTGAGCAGTGAATTGTTGAAGCCCGCTGAATCTCTAGGAGGTCAAGTAAGATGCAGACAAAGAACTTGGAATACACCAACAACAAATTACATTTGTATAGCGCCTTTCACATCGGGAGGACGTCCCAAGGTGCTAGACCCAACTTAACTACTGAGCTATAAAATAAATAGCAGACGTTGAATGAGCCGTACACATTAGATTCAGGGCGTATTACATTTTTCCATAACAAACCATAATGTCAGTTTCAGACATCTCAGAAATGTAGCCTTAACCCTACGGCCCCCCCACCCCCACCCACCACCCCCCCAACCCACTTACAATCTCTGCAAACGTTAACCCTTTAAGAGTACTGTTGTGAAACATGTGTTGATGCTGTGTCAAGCAAAGTTGCTCACGTTCAGTTAACAGCAGAAAAACACGTAAGGACATTTATTATTCATGACCAGCTAAGGTAACAAACCCCCGGCAAGAAAATTTCACCTCGGTCTAGATTTATACTATTGACTTCCCATTTCAGAGCGTCCAGAATGGGGCAAATTCTATAAATTGTTTAAATTTTGAATTCTCGCTTTTCTGTAAGTTTTGTTTAAGAACTAAAGAAACACGACTTTAAAGTTAAAATTAATTGAACAATTTGCCAAATCTTGCACTCTGTGAAATGTTACGTCAATAGAGTAAATCCAGACCCAGGTGGAATTCCTGCCCTGCCTTCCTCCCCCCATCCTGCTTATTACTTGTCAGAAAAGACTTTAAACAGGTGGGTGGATAGGTTCTGTTATAATGTATTGTACCATTGAACTTATTACTGGAGGAGCAGGTTTGGGATGGGTGGGGGGGGGAGAGACCCAAAAATTCCAAATGTCTGTAATATGTGACACATTGATCACTAAAACCTTTTAAAATCGTGCATTGTTTATATATCAATTATTATTTAATTATAATGAATTATGTATTGCTAATTAACATATTAATTAATACATATATTAATGCTAATGGTCCACAGTATAAGAACAACCGACAACCTTTTTGGTGTAATTTGTACTCGGAGCATTTTGACTGCAGCAATAAAATTAAGGTTCATTCACGTCAGATTAGACCAAGGATTGTGATTTTGAAAGTAAAAAAAAGCATTCTGTCCCGTGTCTGGGTTTTTTTTGGGGGGAAAAAAATCTCTTTCAATTATCGCAGAATTGAGAATCAGTGCAGAATTCTGAAACAATAATAATAATAATAAAGCACGACTGTTTGTGAGGGACTGCTGTGCGCAATTGGCTGCCACGTTTTGCCCACAAAATACACAGTCAATCCATTTTACAGTATATCCTGTGAAGCGCTTTGAGACGCCTCAAGAACATGATAAGGCGCTACGTCAAATGCAAGGATTATTACGATGATGATAAGTGGAGAACGTGGAAGGGGAGTGCAGCGCTGAATGGGTTCAATTGTGACCACTTTTCGGTGGGTTCCGCCAAATGACATAATTTCTGCTTTAAGCACAGTCGATGTTGAGGTATTAAACTTCCCACAAACCTCCCGCTTTGCAATCGCCTATCTAGAGATCAATGCAAATTAGAGATTGTAGGAGGAACTCTTTTGCCCCTGGGGAACAGTCCTTGTTGGTATCTAAATAAAGAGATGGCTGCTTTAATTCATACTTAATGAACTTCGACACTTGTAATTACTGTTGCAGCAGTTCCTCTCTGCTGGGGGTGGGAGATGAGAAGAGATCTCTACAATCATCTCTCTGCAAAGTCACCAAATGCATTTGGTTCGAATTTACGAATCAATAGAGAACAGATACTGTATTTGCCACTGTTTCTCCACCGACCCCCTCCCCACCACCCAAAAACAAATCGAAGCCCCCCAAAATATCAAGTAAAATCGAAGACAACAACTGACCTACTCTGTTCGAGCGAACAACAATAACACGCATTCAGTATTCACAGGGTTACTGGAGTTGTTGATGTGCGAGGAGGGCAGAATATAAATGATCAATCAATCAATAAACAATAATCAATTGCAAAAACAATGAAACACTAAAATCTGCACCTTTACCATTCTTTCTCTCTCTTTCTCTCTCTCTCTCTCTCTCTGTGCGCCTTTTGACAAACAATATCCTTTTAAGAAAAAGTTTTGGGAGTGTAGCTGAAAGCAACAGTGCAGTTACAGCTATTGAGAGAGTAAAATGCCCAGGTTTGTGAGCATGTTTATTGCTGCAATTAGACATGTTGCCACATTCAATGTCTTCATTTAAAAGTGGAGTTAAAAGTCGCTTCCAAAAAAAAAAGAAATTGCACAGTGAAACATGCCTGGAAATGCCAGAGACTGTGTAACCTGATTATACAGATGTGAAACCACAATATGAAAATGTTGAGCTCTTAACAAAGAATTACCTCTGTGGTTGGCAAGTATCTTTTCAAACCAACCTTGTCTGCCACCGGTCTTTTAGTTTGTCGAGTTCCACCTTCTGCTTTTGGTTGCCTCTGACAGCTGTTCTGCTGAGGAGTCATGATATTGACTCGATCCTTCACTGCACATGTTCCCAACTCTTGCTTGCCATGTCCAACAGGAGAAATGATTTGGGTACAGTATTTGGCTTTTGCGTTCTGCATTAATTCCCCTCTGATAGTGATCTGACTGTACACTGTTTGATCTGGAAATGTGGGAGTTACATGATTTCTCTCTCTCTACTGAGTTAGGACTGAGTCCTATTCTATCCAGAGCTGTTCCTCCTCACTGACTAAATAAGGTCATCCTCATCTACCAGTGCCTCACTTCCACTGTAACCCTTTAGTGCTGAGGAACTCTACAATTGATTTACTACTCCAGTCTCAACCCCCACCCCACGACTTTAAAGAAGGGAACGAATTCCCCATGAAAATGAATGTTACCATTTTGCTGCATTTTTCATGCAAGGCAACTTTTTTTTTCGCAAACAGAGAGCAATCAGAATGACAAAAAGAAAAGAAAATAGCACGAAAGCAACTTGTGGTTCGACATGAAATCTGATCAAAGGCACAAATACACACACACATACACTTACACATACACACACAGTGTGGGAATCTCTGCTATATCCCAATATTATTATTATTATTATTATTATTATTATTATTATTATAATGCTGCAGCTTACAACCCAAATCATCATGCCTTAGTTGGAAGGGACGATCCATTTCAAATGCTCTGATTTTCACACGTTGCTGTGTCTCTGTGGCTCTGTCCTTTCAGTGTCAATTTCATGATGAATCAGGGTCACAGTACAAACAGAGCAGGACAATTACATATTCATGACCAAGGTTGCACTCTTGTCTTGTGACATCAGTGTTCTTCCTTGTTGGGAACCTTTTTAACAGTTTTTGACAGTGTCCTTCCAGCTATCTGAGTAATAATGAAAAAGGGCTCTCTTTCAGCTCTGACAATATGTACATCTTCTTGCAGTGGACATCAAGTGATACAACTGGAGTTCTGTAGTGTAGTGGTCAGAGTAATGGGTCAGGGCGAGTTTCCTTACTCCACACGCCTCTGTTTATCTATCAGTAAGTAGAACCTGGTTGTTAGTCGATTGGCGGATTGCTGTTCCGGGGGCAATCATCCCTTATTAACAAAATTTTAAACAAATAATAATTGGGTCCCTCAATCCGCAACTGTTTGTGGGACACTGCTGTGCGCAATTGGCTGCTGCGTTTCGCCCACAAAGTATACAGCAAATTCACTGTATATTCTGTGAAGCGCTTTGAGATGTCTCGAAAATGTGATAAGGCGCTATTATCAAATCAAGATTTATTATTATTAGAACTGATTTTCCAGAAACATCAGATGTTCCAACTGTTAAAAGCTGAACAGCTGAATAGTACAGCACTAATATTTCTTGGTATTTTTAAAAACAATTTAACGATTTTCATCTGGTTGTGTTTATTTTTCACGTAAAATAAAAAAACTGCTGTAAATCCTCAGTGAGTTTTTAATCTTTGGAGCTTCCTCCCAAAATTCTTGGTTTGTTGGGAGTAAGTAAGAAGTAAGAGTTACAAACTACAGGGGAAATGCAGCACAGTGGAGATGACTTCTGATTGAGATGAGGGTCAGCAGAGGAAACCCTCATCCACTAAAATATTCCAAGGTTTTGATCCATATAAGATTAATCGTCTTAATCAGTTTACTTTTGAGGAATATAACATCAATTAACTTAATCCTTGCATTGATACAGACGTCTCAAAGCTCTTCAGGATTATTTTTTAAGCGAACACGGTGGGGGGGGGGGGGGGGGGGGGGTGGGCAGGACACCAGGAGAAAAAGAAACTCTAGTTGAATTGTGCTGTGGGCTCTTAAACCTCCACCTAAACAGGTAGATGGGAACTCGGTTTAACGTCACCTCTGAAGAAATATTGAACATGATACTGTTCCCTTCATTAATTTGATGGCTGCAATAATATTTCCTGCCACAAACTCCATCGCTTAGTCCGAGACAATGAGAGGAAGTTTTAGGTTTTTTTATGCAATTCCTCATATATCCCATTATTATTTTAATCCTAGCGCCTGTCCAATCTTGGGACGTGCTCAGGAGCTGACTGCTGTACATTGTTGTGAGGTCCAATCCAATATGGTGCACTCTGGCTAGGATATGAAAGTGATAGCGCCCGGAGAAAACTGCTGATAGCAAAGAGAATGTTCCATTAATACAATGTTAACAACAGCATCCTGACTAGTCTGGAAACTTTGCTTGTTGCATTTCATCCTGTTTGCCTCTCGCTTTCACTGACCATGTTCGCCAATCTGACTCTGCATCCTCACGTTGGGAGGAAAGGTGCACTATCTGATGCAAGGAGTTAATATATTTGTCGCCCACAAAATATACAGTTGATTTCCTTAACAGGATATTCTGTGAGGCGCTTTGAGACGTCTCAACAATGTGAAAAGGCACGATATTAAATGCAAAGCTTTAATCACTTATAAATAAAAGTTGCAATATCTTTATGCAATGCATTTATGATTTGTGATTAATGTTGATTGTCCATCTTGGGTAATGTTTTGAACAATTTTTAAAGGATTTAAAGCTTTTTAAATATACTGGTTTCATTTTTTTTAAAATTATAATAGCACAGTTAATTTGTCAAAACAGTTCCTCAAATGTTGGGTTATATTTTACATTTTCTTTACAATCAACCCCTTTTTTTAAAGATCGCTCTACAGTGTCCACAAAGTCCCGTTATACCATTTTTTTTCTACAGAGCTCTGACCAACAACTGAAACCTGTGGAAGAATGATGATAGTTATATTTATTTAGAATTGTATTCAGTACAAGTGTTTAACTGTATTTGGGCATCCAGAGGATTAGTATGTGTGAGCGATTCATTTTCATGGCAGATAATAATCCGTCACCATGTTCGGTTCGACATCTTACGTAACATGGATGGAGTGAGGAGACAAAATGCATCTCTGACAGCTTGTTTCAGGTCCTCTGTAGTCTCAGATCACTGTTTTGTAAGATGGGACAAATAGGACTTTGTGGCTCCCTATACAATCATTCCACTCTTTGATCAAGGAACTTCTCTCTCTGTGGTGGAGAGAGCAGCTTGAGACTCTTGTTATGACTTGTACTCCTTTGGCATAAAGTTAACAAGTGGACAAAGCAACTTGAATCAGTTAGAATTGGCCAATTCTAGCTGCGGAAAAAAAAGGCCATGAGTCATCCAAAGCAAATACCCGTTAAAAAAGATGAAAGCAGAATTGTCTTGCAATCTGCCTGTTCTGGAAGAACCCTCACTTAACACTGGAGAATGTAATAGGAAAAAAGTGTGGGGGGTTTGGGGGTAGGATTTTGACTGTTAGTGCTCACAGACTTTGTAAAAGCCTTGCTCACAAAAACATTACAAACTTCAAAAGTTTCAAAAGACTGGTCTGATGTTGTCAAGTTAAGAGAAGTGCTTGGAATGCCTCTGATGCAGAACTCCTAAGCAGTTTTGAGTGAGGCTATTCCTGAATAAAACTCTCATGCACTTTAATTTGAGTCCGGTTTACTAAAAAAATAGTCTACGTGATATAAATAGATAATCGGGTTGTTCCGTAATCTGTCCGGGTCTAACATGTTAAGCATGGAGATGTCTTGTTATTTCACCTTTTCCTTTGGATGAAGTAGAGTGAGAAGTATTTTGATCATACTTCACTACACAAAGTTATCAAGAGAAGACCGACTTGTTCTGTAAATAATGTTAACATCAGGCCAGTGAATAAAAACACTTAGTGCATCAGAACATCATATGATGTTTGTTTGCAGCAATTCATTAACGATGGTGTTACCCACCTTGACTGTGATTTCCACAGGAGAGTTTGAGAAGAATTTTTTGCTCAGATTTTCTCCTCTCCTGAAAGTGCAGTCGCTTATGAGGATCCAATTCCACAGACACTCACCCTTGAGCTTTTTACGAGGGAGATTTTGACCATGAGCATCAGCAGACTGCGAGACCACAGGGGGGCATGAGATCAAAGTCCCGTCCCATCCACAGTGGGGAAGAACTGGATACTAATCAGTTTATTGTAGCACACCATTGGATCAAAGCTGTGAGGCTCAATTGTACTTTAGATGGTGGTTTAACCAATGTTACCTTTGGGAAGCCCAGAATCTGGGCAATATTAAATTTGATGCCAAATTGTACAAGCAAAGTAATTTTGGCAAAATTCAGCCACTCTATTTCTCAACGTATGTTCTTGGGTATAATGTGTTTGCTGGGTGTACATCTTGTTTAAACATTTTATTCAAAACAAAACTTCATCTTGCTGATTTGTGTGGAAGCCTATTACAGTGCGGATTCAATTCAATTAAATGAAATGGTACATTATGCTCCAAATAATTGTTTACAAGTGATTATATTTTTGGGGGGTCAGCTGCATGTCTGACACATCCAGAAACCATTCACCCTGCCCGAGAGTCTCCAAGCCAAACTACTGAGAGTTCCACATGTGTACGTGTGGTTTCTGTTAAATCACATCCACTTTGCTAAAGCGTTTCAAATTTTGCTTAAGGTACCCAATTGAAACAAAGTGTGAACCTTCCAGTTCAACACACACAAAAAGAGGCAAATGTAAAATATGCAGAGCTGAGCGCTGAGATGAAAGGCATGTCTCTACATTGAGTGAGTGTATGGCAGGAACTTGTAACATAGCACAAAGCAACAGCACAGCCATAGGAATTCCACTAAGCAGAGGCCTCCCACTCAAGTTGTTTTTGCAACTGAAGGCTTTTCCTTTTTCTTACTCAGAGCATCAAATGCACACCATGGTGTCAGCTATACCAGTGGTGAAAACACAGCAAACATCAATGTACAAAAGAAAATGTTTTTTGAACAGGAACAGGAACAGCATGGGGTACGGGCGGATACTCTGAAACGGCCCATTCATCAATGTCAGCAGCTGCTATTCTTATGGTCTCTAATCGCTGCCTCCTCATACTGATAAGTCCCAAGTTATTTGTGGAGCCGTGAGCATAGTTGGCCGATGAAAGGTTGTTTTGCAGCCAACTGCACAAATACTACGTTAGCTTTTCCGAGTGGGGGTAGAAAGGCCCAGTCTGCTGGTTCCCTGGTCAAATCTACACAGCCACTTTACACAGTGAAGTGGGCACCTATTTTAAGTAGGATGTCACAGAGAGGAAAATAATGCAACTGATATAATCTCAGTCGTTATATGTTCACGCATCCTTCTGGGCTGCCGACGCTTACATTTTGTGATGAAGGCAAAGAGCTGATGCGGTCCTATTGTGCAAAAATGAATGTAAAAATAAGATTTATCCTCCACAAGGTTGGTTTTCTGCCCTCTCTCCGCATGTGTTGAGATACTTAGGAACAC